ACGCACAGTAGACCGTGCTGGCACGCCCGCGCACAACCGCACCTCACCCAAAAGCAGGAAACCCCGTGTTAACGCACATCCCCTCGGCCCGGAACTCCAGGCCGTGAGATTTGCGCGGCAAACACTTTTTCTTTGATTGATCATCTTTGAAAGCATGCTTCTTGAGGTTGTTGGGATTATGTGTATCTTCATATTTTCCTAAGCAATAAATGGATGAAGTAAGAATCATCCATGTGAATTGGTTTCTTGAATACCTAATGTAAACATCATACTATTAGGGTTCTTGTGATGTTCATATTCTCTTTGAACTTAATGGGTTTTTCTTGTAATTTAATCAAAGTACTAAGCACACCTAGATTTGGTTATAGGGAAGGCACAAGTATTGTAGCACTAGCCCTGCACTCTACATATATTACAGAGAATCATGCATCTTGAGCCACTAAACCGGTCTTGATTGCGAACATCTTCATCAACTCGTTTAGACTAGTTCATTACTTGAGTATCCATGAACATGGGTAGAATTGTTTAGGGTGGATTTCGAAACCCTAGTGTTTGTTACATTTTACTTTCACATTTTGATTTTCATTCTTGTCATTCTTGTTAAAATTAGAGTTCATACATTCAAGCATTAGAAATAGGTAACTCAAATCAAATCAACCCCCCCCCCCAATGTGTGTGTGTGTGTGTGTGTGTTTGAAACATTATGTGTTTTCTTCACTGAATTCTGTTTATTTCCGTAACTGTTTTAAACATTTGGTCCTGCTTAGAGTTCTTTGTTTTTCTGTGCTGAATTCAACCATATAAAGAACATGAAATTTGGACAAATAGTTGGAAAGTTATAGGCCAAACACTGAACAGAGGTCGAAGCTGAAAAACAGAGAAACGAATGTCCAAATGGTGATAAACAGGTCATAAACAGGTTATAAACAGGTGATACAATGGTGATAAAAGGGTGATAGAAAGTGATGTTTGTGTTTTTCTTTGATTTCTTGTTTTGTTTAATTTCTTTTACCTTTCCTTACTCATTTTTAGTTTCCAATTTGTATTGTACATTTGTGTTGTGTTAAATAAGTGTTCTTTACGTACTCAAATTAGAACTTGTAGGAAGCTGACAGTTCTTCGTGGGATCGACTCTGTACTTACATAATCTATACCTCAATAGATTCGTGCACTTGCGGGTATTTTTAATTGTTTGTTTGCACATTAATTTGTGTCGATTAAAAAGTACAACAGTCTGCAGATCAATGAATTATATAATCAATGAATAATTCTTATGAAGTGATTAATCTAGCTAGTCAAGTTTGGATCATAATTTATATGAGAAGATCACATGCATGTTGGGGCCTTGAAATTTGGATAATTAATTAAATGGATTGAAGGTTAATTAATCAAAGTTTATTCACCAAGTCTTTATAAAAAAAAAGGGTCGCTTGCTTGGGAAGTGAGTGAGAAATTTAACAGACTCCATGGATGATTTTATAAAGGGTTTGGATAGTGCTCAAGCAGGGGCAGACCCAATTAATGCCAAGTGTGGGCAGCTGCCCACACTTACCCAAAAACTTCAGCCATATAATCCCATTTAAATTAATTATTTTTAATTATTTTTAGGTCCTTCTCAAGTAAAGCCCCCACATAGCCCATTCAATACATACACTTTAAGCCCAAAGCTTATATTAAAAAAGAAAAACCCTAAACCCTATGTTAAAAAAGAAGAATAGAGATCCCACCAAGTTCACTCATTCTATAATTTTGTGGAGAACTCAGTCGCCAAACTCATTATTTGACAAAAGTCTGCAGCCCAACAAATCAAACTCGCTACTTCAATTGATTTTACAGGTTAGTACTTAGTTGTTTTTTACAAACTAATTTCATTATATTGTTATTTATATGCATTCAATTTGTACAGATGATTGATTTTATTATATATATATCTCTTGATGAAAAATAATATAAACTATTTATGACAGTTATGGAAAAATATTTTAAAAGAAAATCCGAGTTGGAGTTGTCAGGACCTATTAGGAGAAGTGATGATAGTTCAAAGCAAAGTCGCATAGAAATCAATATGTCAGATCTTCATTCTGATCCTAGTTTACGAACTCGGATTTTAGATTACAATCCAAACATTCAAGATGAAATTAGAAGAGCTTACTTACAAAAAGGCCCTTGTCAGCCTAGAAATCATGATTTCCCTCAAAAGAAATTTGGAAAAGAGTCAAGACGATTCAACCCGGCATGGTTTGATGAATTCCCTTATTGGTTGGAATATAGCATCAAAGAAGATGCTGCATTTTGCTTATGTTGTTATCTTTTTAAAACAAATTTGGGAGAGAAAGTTGGAGGTGACTCATTTGTTGGTACAGGTTTTTCAAATTGGAAGAAAAAGGAAAGATTTCAAGTTCATGTTGGAGGTCCCAACAGTTCCCATAACCAAGCTCTGAAAAAATGTCAAGCCTTAATGAATGAAAACAAAAGCTCATTCGGCTTGCTCAACTTTACCCGAATGATTTTTCGTCACAAGAACTTGAGGTACTTAAAGATCAACTTCAAACTTATATTGATGATATGCATTCCAACACCAACTTTTCAGAATTACAAGGTATTGCTACTCTTGCAAAAAAACTAGTTGAGACAAAAAAGGATAAGGCATATCCACTAGTTTATCTTCTCATAAAATTGGCGTTAACACTTCCAGTTGCAACAGCTTCAGTAGAAAGGGCATTCTCTGCTATGAACATCGTGAAG